TGGCAGGGGTGCGGATTGATGGCAGGATGGCCAGCAGGCACTGCCAAGCAGCCCGCGGGCCAAAGGGGCCATCAGGAACGAGCCCAGGAGGTGCCGAGGAAGCCCTGGGAGCTCAGTCATCAATATTGATGGCTTTCTGGCCCTCGGCAGGTGTCGTACGTTATTGTACAGGCCTATTATTGCTGTCCCATTATGGCCCACAGGTAATTCCTATTTTAATCGAATTTAAACACATTTATTAGCCCAGTTTATTAGCCTTATTGGCTAGCTCTGGCTCAGCATATCACGCTGCGCTGGCTATAGCCACAATCCACTGAGAATTTTGACAACCACGGCCCAACGGATGGACCGGCAATCACCTTCCTCGCTCCACCCTGGTCCCGCCACCTCTCTCTTGGGCCAGCATCCTCTATGTCCACTTCGCCGATCTCAGCGGACTTCTCAGCTTCCAATCTCTTGGTGTTAGACTCACTATCTCCATCGCTGTCGGATCTGCCTCCAGCTGTGGTACTCAGCCCTGCTGTCACCATGGGCACGCGCCGTGGCCGTTCATTCAAGGCCGTTTGCGCGTCCGCTGCAACAGCTGTTTGTGACGCCCTTCAGGCGTGCGAGGGGAACTCGTGTGGCGATGCTCGTCATCAGGTTGCGTGCGGTTCTTGAACCGAGTCCTTCTTGCTCCCGAACCGTCATCTGGAAGCATGGCCCTGTGTCCTATTGTACAATGATAGACCTATTTGCTAAGATCCCGTGTGGGTGTATAGTATCATTAGCATACACAATATATGATCATTGACCTGGTCGGTCGTCTCAATGGGGGCCACATGGCACTGCCATGCATATGCCATGCGATAGCCGGTGGCGTGAAGTGCACAAAGGGACTCTAGGGAGCACGACTCGTCTTGCATTCTTTCCTACGACGACCACTAGCTCCTCCTCTAGGCCTCCGTGCATGACTATGGACATAGATACCCAGCCCGGGGCAACAGACTTCGGAACTGAACAGCCAGTCGACAAACCTACTCCAATTACTGGGCAGAAACACCTTCGCACAAAGAGTACTGGCACCGCCAACCAGGCAAGGAAGAAGGCAAGAAAGGAAAGAAAGGCAGCTCCGGCTTCTTCGCAACCATCTCGTACACGTCTGACTCAGGATCTCTGGCATCTCAAGGATGCACTTGTTCCACCAGAGGCTACTGGGGTTCAGGCGAGTGGCAGATGATCGCGGAATGACCAATTGATATACTGATATATCTCTACAGAAAGCACTCCAAATTCACATTTGCCTGCTCAGTCACCTTTGCACTCGCTTCGATGTCCCAAACCGAGTCTTGGGCGCACTTTTGACTCTAACACAGGCACGTCTCTCTGATCAAAACAAGATCAACTCGTCGGTCGATGCCGTCCTTGCTGTCACACGTGATACTTCAAAAGAGGCCAAAGGACTAGTCGAACAGCTTAGCCATGCCCTTGATCATGCCGCACGAAAGTACCCCAGGGCGTCTATCCATCGCGACATGAAGTGCATGATGTCCCGCAAGGAGCATCTGGACTTCGTCTTCAAGGCTATAACCAGCCTTGGGCTTGCCTCCTGGATGCCCGACATATACAGTAACAACCCTACCTCCCTCTACAACCTGCTTCATGAGCGAATCGCGATATCCACGTTCCAGTATATGTGCAATGCCTTTGCATACACCCTGTTCAAGGTGAACCTGGAGTACGCCAGTCAATCGGCACTTCTTCAGCAGGTACGATCTTCAGTCTTGATTCATGCTGAAATGTCTTGAACTGTGGATCAGATATACCATCACTATGTCTTCTCATACATGCGCCTGAGTAGGGAAAAGGCCGAGAACGGTGGGAACCTTCAGTTGGCGACCGTTCTTGAAGGGATATACAAGAGGCGAAAGTCGGTGCGTATTCGCTGTTTTCCTCACAAAGCGTGGTATTAATGGCCATAGCAGACTCGAAAGGACCGTGTACGCTGGCTGCAAGAGCAAAACTACAACCCAGCAGTCATTCGTGTCTTCAAATCAAAACATACCACGTCCGAGGACGAATATGATGCTGCACTCGGTGGGTATGTCGTGAAGGCTGTTGAAGGCCCATCAGCAGCCATGACAAGCTTTGCAACCTGGGTCGATGGGGAAATTGCCAAGGTTGTTAAACCAGGGCGTGGTAAGACCAACAGGTCTCGCAAGTGCGTACTCATGTATACGGGGCCAATGTTTTATTCTGACATTATTTTTATAGGATGAAGCGCAAGCGTATTCGGCTGCCCAACCCACCTGCTCCGATTATTGTTGCACTTCCAAAGAATGTGCCCATCGACTACTATGACCCGGACTATTTCAATGTCAGATTCCTTCCTCGCGATCGTGCAAAGTTTTCGAACTGTGGTGTTGCACTGCCTCTCCCTTCAGTACGAGGTGACACCGTGCGAGAGCACAAGGTCATCAGGAAAACACCTGCCCCGTAACGCCGTGTCACACCCCGCTAATACCCCCTTGACGACCTAATGCTCAAATAATGGCCGTCAGCCGATGGCGGTTCTAGGTACACATAATGCTCACTCACCCAGCCGTATTCCAGTGTTAGAGTAAATATAGTCAGCTCACCGATTAATAAAATGATACTTTTCACACAATTAAATTCATCGACCAAAATATCATTCCATTGAGCGAGTAGATGTAGTACAGGTAAGCAAGATAGCGCGGGGGAGAGTGAATCGAGTAGAACGTGACAATGATATGCAAGAGAGTAGCAAGAAAGTAGTATGAGGAGCATGTAGACGAGCGTGACAAAGGGCGAGCGTGACGATATCGAGAAGTCCGAGGAGGCCGAGAGCGAGCGAGAGATGGGTATACAAATCAAGAAAAAAAAAGCGGCCCCGAGCGCCGAGGATCATGAGCGGGACGAGGAAGTGGGGAGGGATGCAAGGGGGACGCCGAAGGAGATCGCCTATGCTAGTAGTTAGTACTAGAATCATAGAATGGAAAAGTGTGACGCACCGAATCACCAGTCCCAAGCGCCGAAGTGGTCGGGGCCCTCATCCTCCAGATCGTCATAGTCCGTCCAATCTTCCTGGCGGCACCTTCGGCAGCGATGACCATTGCCATTCGGCGATTGCTGGAACTCGACGGGAGCCTGCCCGCGCTTGATCGACGTGAGCACGTAGCGTAGGAAGAGGTGGTGCTCGAGCTTCTCCATCTCACCCTCCCTCAGGTTGCCCGGGGCTAGTTCACGGAGCTGGTACTTTGTGAACCACCCGTCCGTGCCCTCCATCATCTGGTCCAGTTCACTCGCGAACATGGCGTCCACGAAGAACTCGCACATCTCCTTCAACCAGATGCGGCGCTGCTTCGGCTCGCTATCCAGGTCCTCGGGCGACCAGGGCGTGGGCCAACCCTTCGGGCCAATCGGGTTGCCGCCCATCACGATGTTCTTGATGCGCCTGGCGATAGGGGGCCTGTGGTAGACGAGCTTGGGAACCTCCCGTGTCTTGAAGCTCGGGTCCGTGACGTCGAGCGTGTGGTGCTTCGTGCCCTTCTCGTCGATCGCCACCGGGATCGTGGACTCCTCGAGCTTGCTGTTCCTCACGAGCTCGGGAAGCGTCTGGAGCAGGAGGAGTTGGCCGAGGGAGTGCATGAGGCCGGCGTAGAGCTCGTTGTCGCCCTTCATGAGCTCTAGCGTCGCCTCATGTCCGCACAGGAGCTTTCCGAACGGCGGGCGATCTTCCACATGCGCCAATAGGTGCTCGGCTT